AATAAAGTAGCACAGGTATGTCGTACCACTAGTTTTATTTTCCGAAAACTGATGTGCTGTTTTGTCGATGAAAAATCGAACACCGCTAGGTCCGGACAGGTTAAAACCAGAACACCTGAAGAACCTTCCATCAGTCTTCGTAAACACACTGAACCGGCCTTACACACGTTACCTGTCCCAATTCAACGTTCCTACTCAGTAGAAGACCAACAAGACCGTGCTATTATTCAAGGGTGATTTTCACGATATTGGCAACTAATGCCCATTGTGTTTGTGTCTGTTCTCGTACAAAGTTTTCACTCGAGTCATCCCAAACAGGATTGGCAGAACACTGGACGAAGGGCAGCCATATGAGAAATCAGGGTTTCGGAAAAAATTTAGTACGATGGACCGCGTCCACATGATAACAAGACTCATCGAAGTATGGGGAGAGTACAAAGGACCGCTCTGTCGCGCTTTCATCGATTTAAAGAAGGCCTTTGACTCAATCATGGAAGCCCTTGATAATCAGGAAGTCCCTGCTCGGTATATAAACATCCTTTATGGGCTATGCAAAAATTTCACAACGAAGATATCACCATTCCACAGCGATATTAACATCGACGTCCAAAGAGGGGGCAGAAAAGGTGATACCTTCTCGTCAAAGTATTTACTGCCACCCCCGAGAATGCTATGCAAACATTGGAGTGGGATAACATGGGAGTGAAAATCGATGGTCGGCAAATACAGCACCTTTGCTTTGCTGATGACATCGCTCTTATAACACCAAACATTAACTAAGCGGAACGAATGATTGCCAACTTTAATAAAGCCTGTGGAAAGATTGGTCTTCGATAACAGGTGATAAAGGTGATACTAGTGATCTCTTCGGCATCTTAGCCTTTTTCCGAGAGGCGGTAGTTCGAATCCACTGCCCGTTGACAATGAAGGAAATAAAGTATCAGTTTGTCGATGAGCGTCGCGGTGTTGAGGGTAATAGAGCAAGACGTGTATTTGGTTAAAAACTACCGGTATTGTTGGAATGGCAACGACGGCGGCTATACACGAGACACTCTTCGCCAAGGCAGAGATTCACTGTAGTATATCTCGTCTTTGTCAACTTGACAAAATGAGTAGACCATGAAACCATTCGGTTCAGCGATGATACTTAACAAATTAGTGTTTTAGTAGGAAAAGATGCGGTAGATGTTGTGGCGGAGCACTTTTAGAGACTTATCTTCTGTAATTTCCATGGTGTTCAGCGATTCAAGCAGGTACTAATACTTGAAAATCAGCGGCCTAATGGTTGTCTTTTAACGCGCCTGTACGAATTAAGTGTGCAGTAAGAAATAAGCCTTTAAACGTCGATGATATTGGACAAAGTTCTTGCATTCAATTTTTTAAACGTATAAAGCATCGCAGTTAAAACATCACTTATTTGATAGTGCTTTCGAAAACACTGTCCACATTTTCCTACTAATAACGCGGAAGAGCAGTTGTTCGAAATGCTATGCAATAAAGCCTGGACTACATTGGTCTCTGCCCTAGCGCAGTCGAGTCTGGCACTTTTCGGATTATGCAAATGAGTGCCTAGGCTTGCAACCGAAGAGTTCGCACCGGCACACAGAGGCCGGATGTAACGTTTACGATGAGAATCTAGGGACCTATTGGACCTAATCTAGGGAGCTACACCAAGATTCTAGAAAGAGCCAGCTCAAACAGAATTTCTTGACTGTCACAAGAAAGCCAAAGTCTTAAATAGCTCCCAAATCTAAATGCAAATAAGAAAAGTCTTACTGATGACAATAGACGGACCGAAAGAAAGTATTGATGAGATGCGAGGTGAGAATATATGAGGTAGAGTCATGTAAATAAGACAGATTTCCGGACCATGAGGCTTATCATACCCCTATGAAGTATGTGTAGTCTGAATAATTACGAAATTTCGTATCGTATTAAAAAGAAGTGGTATTAAACGCAAACTCGTTTCATATGAACATCGCCTTCTTTGGGGTACGCTGATTTCTCCACTTGATGTCGAAATAGGTGAACGCTCAAATCACATAGGGTCTGATTTTCCTAACCACCGAAAATGTGCATTGTTGTGAAACGATTAATAGTCCAAATTTGTTTTAACTTAATAATTTAAGAAAACGTTGATAACTTGTGGCGAGGCTAAATGGAAGTAGGTTTTTAGAAGTAATGCGACGCTGTGTGCCCGCTATTATATAACACTTACCTCAACAGGTTGCACTAGCTCAAAAAAAAATCACATCAGCAGATCACATTGAATGGCAGCAAGTGAGAAATCGCCCTGCCGTGAAAAGGCACCGACGATTGGGACACTTTGTTCATCCGAGAAGTGCTCTGCTTCGTTCGATTCTTGTCAAGGCAACAAGGGAGACCCACATCGAGGCGCCAAAAGACGCCGGGCAATCGATTAGAATCAATCCTGCTCTGAATAAGAAGAGGATGTCAGAGAGTTATCCGAACAATGCACGTTTATAACAGGCTCGTGTTAGGGATGGCGCGATAAACTCTGCTTTATGCACTATACTCGGCAAGCCTCTCGTCTATAACGACCACTTTTTCTAGTGTCTCAGCATTTCCTGGTATTAGAAATTTTGCAGAAACAGAATAAGTCCAGAAGTATATTTAACGACTTTATCGCTATCACAATTCCGGAGCTCCAGGTAACGGGAAGCAATAGATTTTTTTCTGCTCTGGCAGAAGTGCGTAGAATCTTCTGATATTTATTTCGACTAATGAAGTTTATTCTCAGCTGGAAAACACAATTTTGAAAATTCATTAAACTAATTTCGTTTGCTGGATTAAACCAATCGATGCAAAACAAACTTTATTAGATCTTTTTGCGCTACCGAAACAATTTCTATGAGTTCATTCCATTCCAGTTTTGATACAAAATTTTTGCTAACTGACCTAAGAGAGCCACGTGTTGCAAATGAATTGTGTCGTCTGCCTGCTAATAGCCAGAAATTTCCGACCGTGTAAGATTTTGTGCAAGAATGTTGACAAATTTCTCTCCATTTCCAAAGAAATCAGTGCAATTATGGAACGTTGCTCAAAATGGGCCGATGTAGAGAATTCAGTAGCAGTTATTGAAATGCCACCGAGCACTCTCAGACGCCTTTTAGTTCGTCACCGCTTGTATGACCGTCTAACCACGACGCAAAGTTATATGATTTTTTCAATTTGTAGAAGCTGTGATTGCGTGAGTTCGGGTACAGCAGGCCTAATATCTTTCAAAACGTACGGGACGAATACATTGGCCGAACGGGTAGTAACATTGTGTGTTCCTATAAAGCAGCACTGGCTTGGGAAACTTGGACAGAAAGCAAATGCAAACGGAGGTTTGAACTTGAAGTTAACATTGTCACAGTTCAGAGCATAAAGCTTTCGAGGCATTCTGAATAATTTCTAGGAACGCAAGGTGAAATACCTCATTATCGCGATAATCGCGCGCAATACCTCGGGCTGATTTTTTAATGGTGCAGAGAAGCACATTACCAATCCATAGGAGCACTGTGTGGTTAACGTCCACGTGAAATACTTGGTGGAAAACAGATAGAAAGCGGTGAGTGTGCAAAGAAGCCATTTTGTATTGAGTGCAACTGAAACATAGGCTTCATAGTTTTTCTATTCGTGTCATGGAGATGTTTGGCCGATTGCATTGCAGTCAACTTGACCGTTGAGGCTCTGAAGAAGGCGGAATCCTGATCAACGTCGGTTTTTGCGAATGAAGAGAGATAACCACGACCTCGTGTGTGGTTGTCAAGAAAACAACGAGTAAATCACAGTTGTGTTGAAATTTTGGTACTTTGTAGATTTTATATCGTTTGATTCGATGACATAATTGTCATCATATACGAAACAAAGAAGAACGAATAAGTCAAAAAGTTGCACGCTAGGAGTACTTATTTCCAACGAAGCCACTACAATTAAGTCGGTCACGCCTTACAGGATCTACTTTTTTGTCTGAACTCCAAAAATGGAGCAAAATAGTAAAAAGGATAAAGGGTAAAGCTTTTGGCTTTGATCAATCCCTGAGGGATGCACCATGCATTTGACTTCATTAAGCATCGTCTGGAGGTGATTGAATGCATATCTATCCCTTACAATGACTCATGCTAACCTACCGGTATATCGAGCCAGGGTTGATACCCTCCCAGACAAGTATGACACCAATGTGCTAACCCCACAGGGTTAGAAGGCTTGGTGGGCCATGGACGCAGAGATCGACTACACGTGTGTGTTGCAAGACGCCTCCGACCACTGCCTACACGTGCCCCAGAGCAAAAAGTGAAGCTAATAAATCGAATTATTTTACGTAACCTTGCAAACATGTTTATTAAGAAAGGATACGTAGACTTGGGATAATTAGACGGGATGTTGTAAAATCGTTGTAGTTTCATTTACTCTGGATTCCTAAGAAATTGTGGTGATGTCATCTCTATGAAATGTTTATTGATGAGGTTTTTAGACCAACGAACGTTAGGCATTTATGCTGCCGTGTTTTCATCGTGATATGAGTTCAAATGTTCGGAATAGATGTGGAAAAATTATTCTCGTCATCTGGAGGCTCTAGTTCTCTTAACAGGTGAGCTTTGTTTATGACTATTTGTAGTTGGTTTTTAAAGATTGAAGGAGAACGTAGCGCAGTGATTAGAGGTGAACTACCATCCAGCCACGGTTGTTGGCCTAGTCTTACACCCACAATTCATTAAGCTCTCGCTGATCTGTAAATCGGTGGAAAACTTGTCTGCGCAGCAGGCCATCATGAGTCATTGTGTAGGCCGGCTATGCATTCACACACCTCTGGCGATATTTGGTGAAGTGGAATGCGTGACACGTCTTCCAAGGATTGGTCAACGCTGGTCAATTTATTCCTTATCTTTCCATAATAGAATTGAGTGAAATAATTTCCAGCAGTTTCGATTATACTATTTCGTTGGGGTTTGCAGGCCCCAGGATAATCTTCATTTTGAAGATCAGTTTTTAAAATGAGGGAGCGTGTAGGTAAGTGGTTGATGCTAATGCCTTATTGCCTAGAAATTATGTGCTATTTGTTCTACTTGCACACATAGCTTTTGTCGTTCGGGTTTCCATACGTGATCTTCCTTTCGATGCTGATGATTACATGAACGAGCAGTTTTTTGTGCCACTTCATTGCATCGAGATCAGTGTTGGTTTGAATTCGCTATTTTATCGCTGCTGTAGTAATTTGCGAAAACGTATGTGTCCTTTTATAAATCTATATTGAACCTCTTATAACGCTACATTTCTTTCGTCCAAAGCTTGGTTAAGCACTGTGCTTGGATGCTTACTTGAATACTTGGACAGAGCGTCCTCACTGGTTTTCAGGCTCCAGCATAATCTTCATTTTTCTGAGTTTTCCTGGTTTAGCATTTGTGTTCCCCTGCAGTTCCGAGGTCGGCTTTGCTAAGGGCTGCCCCGGCTCATCACCACCATAGGCAGTTGCCGTCCCTGTGGACCAGAGGGAGATTTGCCAGTATGCTGTTAGTTTGATACCATGATGGTGGTGGATCCTGGCATTGGTTTACTCTTAGTTGGGCTTCCGGATAAAAACGCCGGACTCCTCAGCTTGGGAGACCTTACTGGGATATGAATCCGCTGTAAATCTCAGCCCGATACCCAGGAGTACCTCCCAGCCACTATGAGGCTATAAGCCGTTGGGAGGTTAAGCACTACAACAATTTACAGTAAGTTTTTTGCAAAGGCCATACATTTTGAAATTGCCTTTCTATTTGCTGTACTCAGTTGTTTCACAGTGACACATTCGCTGTGTTCTAGTTAGCGTCCAATGATGAATGATGACCATTTGGAGATGCCGTGATGGCGTTTGCTAGGGCAACTGAAACTCACAAACCTTTTCGAGAAATAAGGCCATGAAGGGAAAAAGGCATCCTTTAATAATATTAATATTGTAAACTTTTGTTTAACAAATTATGTTCACAGCTGTTTAAAGCGTTACGACGTTGTAGATACGTGGAATTATTTGGGTCAAGTGACATGGCAAATATAATGAGGAGGTTAACAATGCGCCTAGTGGGCGGTTAACCAGCACCAGACCTCTTGCCGTAGTCGCAATTGAAGTTAATTACGGAGGCATTTTGTGTTATTGGATGTCAATAGTCTAATGGATCATGTTTCAGGTAGTTACAATGTTATCTATAGGAGCATTCATGGCGGATGTGGTAATCGATAAGAACCAGTCGTTCGAGGCTCTTTTCTTTCGTGCGGTAGTGGTGGCTCCTATGCTGGGTGCAGTGGAAGAGTTCGTTCGTCAAGACATCATTGGAGGAAATAATTAGTAATACTTATAAAAGTTGCTGTTCTTTTTTATAACGTAGTTTCCTTCGGTATTAAAACCACAGTTCTTCCGCCCATGTGTTCTGTACTGACTATGTTTCAGTTTGCGTTCTCTTCTCTCCACCATTAATTCAACTTGCCTGCTGTTTCTAATCTTTTAGTGTTCGTTATGGTAATATTTATTTTTCTTTAATCTATTATAGATTATCATCATTTTCACCTGCAGTATGACCAAACCGTTATTCTATCGTATTCGAATGTAACATTTTTCCTTTAGTCTGTGACGTGTTTTTTTTTTAACGCATGAATGAATCTTCATATTAGTTAACTCCATACGAACTGTTCGTCTATATTTTCGATGGATTTATATACACGGAAAGCCGAGATTCATTTCGAAAAGTTCATTAAACTACGGTGCTGATGAGGAAGTGGTTACAGGCGCTCTGCAACACACATGCCGGTTCGATGCCGGTCACCAAGCTCATCAAGCTTTCCATCCTTTTGAGGTCGCCAAATTAATGCCAGACTTGTCCGGGAAGATAGCAGCATTGGCTCAACACATCGGTACCTACCGCAAGATATGCATTCAGTCAACTCTAGCGGGGCTTTATGAAGTCGAAAACGTGGCGCATCCTCCAGAGATTCATGCCAACGGCGTATATAGATATATATATATATATATAAATGTATATATACGTATATATGTAGGTCTTGTCTTCGCATATTGTGTGGATCCCAGTTCATCTTTCTTTCGGTTGGTTTTCGTTCTCACACATCTTCCATCCACGAAAGTATCCAACTTTACGTGTGGGTTCATCTTCTTTGTAGATGTCTTTGAATCCTGACGGAGTAGTTCCTCACTAAAATGCTGGGATAGGTTTCCTAAAGCATTGCGAATCGTTACCACAGGCGGGCAGCACTCCCTGTGGATTGGATGGGTCCTTCTCGGGCAAATCTAGTATGTTTGCCGACCGTTTAGGAAAGAGACACTTGATTGACGTGAGTTCGTATCCAACCAATACCATGTTTGTACCGAAAGGCATCTCTAGCTACTGCACTTCGTGCACTCTGCCACGCCTATGCAGTGCATCCAATGTTTTTTTTCTACTTACACAAATTTGAGGAACGGTTTATGTAAACATACTATAAATTCCTCGTTAGAGATTGGGCTGCGGCTGCCTGTCGTGTTGACGACCTGACGCAAACTTTTGCCAGGCTGTCTTCGGGATTCCAGAGAACCACAATGGTTTAAGAAGCAAATCTCCAGAAAGTGGTAATGATGTTGGAGTCCGCACAACTAGTGATGACAGGGCGTTCAAGTATCAAGTAAGTAAGTAACGCTGTCTGTGTAACACTTATTGTTTTTCTTTTGTTCCGCCGCAAGGACTGATTTCCACGTCATGAAAACAACGTTTTTTTGCCAACATATCAGTATCATTGTGGTTACATTTGACGAGTGGTCCGATTTCAGTGCGATTTCACCGCATTCGTCCCAAATTTCCAAGAAAATCTATGTTCTCGGACCTTGTAACAATGTCAACATCGCTGAACTCGCGAATCGCGAATCGACATCGTTGTCATCATCTGTGTGATTACTTTATTTTCTGTGTGCTTATTGGTTCGTTATATTGTGGTTATTATTCTGTTCTCTTTTCAATTTTTTGTCAATTAAGGGTTTTCGTTGTCCGTTTTATGTTCTTTTACTAGGAGTACCGATATTTCCATTTAGGCGTACATCGGCGAAGGCCATGAGAGCAGCGACTCCTATGAATTTGCCGGTGCACAGGACCACATTCGTAACACTCGGTTTGATTTCACTGGTGAATCTCGGTTTGTTTTTCAACAATTTAAAAGTGATAATCGTGTTGTTGTTGATTGCTTTGTTTACTATGTTTTTTTGCCCTTGAACGTTACAACGGTTGATCGTAAATTATGTTGCTTAATACAACCACAACGTTGCTGAGATATTTGCAAAACTCTGGACCGCAGGTGTTTATGGTGGGGAACGAACGCGCTATTGTTCTTTCCGGGGAGTAACGCGTTCACCACCACACCATGCGAGTTATTCGTTTCGCCTGTCTCTCAGCTATTTCTATCGATCTTTGCCGCAGCAATCACCCGTCAGCGGGATTGATCTGGGGTGCCCACATCGGCATAGAACCCAGTTAAGCTGCGGCTGTAGTTGAAATCACAATGTTATACCTTTTTATTTTCTGCCTATTATAATTTCTATAAAATATAAACACCTGCGGTCCAGAGTTTTGCAAATATCTCAGCAACGTTGTGGTTGTATGTCGCTTAGTACCCTGCCGCGAAATTATAATAGGCAGAAAATAAAAAGGTATAACATATGTTGCTTAATACTTACTTGACACTTGAATGGCACGCCCTTACTGGTTGTGTAGGCCCCAGCACAATCTCCATTTTTCGGAGATTTGCTGGTCTGGCCATTGTGGTTCCCTGGAGTTCCAAGGTCAGCCTGGCCAAAGTCTACCCCATGTGGTCACCTCACAAGTAAACATCGCCTTTGTGGATAAGAGCGAGATTTGCCATCACGCTACTAGTTTGATACCAGAATGATGGCGGATCCTGGTATTGGTCTACTCTTAGCTAGGCTCCCTGATGGAGAGGCCGGACATTTTCTCAACTTGCGAGACTCTGCTGGGAAGATGAATCTCCCGCTGTTCACCACAACCCGACACCTAGGAACACTTCCTAGCCACGATGAGGCGGTAAACAGTTGGGAGACTTAGATTAAATAGGAAAACTGTTTGCCGTACGCCCATACTAACGGACGAAATTGAATAACATTCAATGAAAATTTTTCGTTCTTTCTTTCTTTATTTATTCTCTTTTTTTCATTCATTTACCATCTTTCTTTCCTTCTCCTTTTTGCCTCCTTCTCCTTCTTTCTCTGCTTTTTCTTTCAATCCTTCATCTTTATTTTCCTTCTTCTTCTTTCCTTCTTTATTTCGTTCTTCTTCACTATCTCTTTCCCATTCTTTCCTTCACATTCTATCTATCTATTTATCTATCTATCTAATCTATCTAATCTATCTAATCTACCTAATCTATCTAATCCGTTTAATCTAACTAATCTATCTAAACTAATCTGTCTATCTATCTATTCTAATCTATCTATCTAATCTAATCTACCTATCTATCTAATCTAATCTATCTATTTAATCTATCTAATCTTTTTAATTTATCTAATCTATCTAATCTAATCTATCTATCTAATCTATTTATCCAATAACTCCCAAGTCCGACTTTCTATTAACCTCGGCATTGATTGAATATATCTTTCTACTTCTGTTCAGCAAACACGAGGTGCTATTTTATTTCTTTATTTACGCACAAGCTGACGTTTCGGTGGATTTCGCCTTTCTCAGAGCCTGGAAGGGTTAAGTTGACAGAAATCCACTCGGCCAAACACCTCCATAACCAAAAAGAGAAAACGCTAGACCAGGATTTCAATCACATTTAGCATAGCTGTGCACACTCACCGCTTTCTATGAGTCTTCCACTGAGTATTTCGCGTGAAGACCGACCGCACAGAATTCACATGGAAGCGTAATGTGCCTCTCCCATTAGAATAACAGGTTTATATACTGTCCAATATCACGCGTGACAACAAGGCATTTCTCCCTGCGGTTCATTTTCGGATTCTTGGAATTTATCCAGAATGCCTCTAGAGTTTTGCGCGCTTGTGTTCTCGATTCTTGCGCGAGGATCGTAACCCTTACTTCAAAATCTTCTCCG